CATTGGGAATTTTTACAGATACATTCATATATATATAATCTTAACTAAATCCATATGAAATAGTTCTACTCACAGAAAGATATGGATAGAAGGAAGTAATAGTTTAGGGAAAGGTTTCTTAATATAGCTCTATCGTGCAGGCCAGATTTGGATGCAATTAAACTTACTGCAGGTCTTTTAACGATTTTTATTATTATTATTGTTATTCTGTTAACTTTTCAGCAAATGCACTTTTAAATACTATTGATTTCAGAACAGAAATTCTTTAATTTTCCAATATTTTGGAAGAGAACAACTGCCAATTAATGTTATGTTAATTAATTAATTGGACTAGGTTATAACTACAGGTAGTCCTCATTTAGTGACTGCCTTCTTCAGCAACCACTTGCAGTTACAATGGTGATGAAAAAGGAACTTTACGACCAATCCTCACAGGTCTCTAAAGCAAAGGAAAGCCAAAGTAAGATTGTAATCACAGTTGTAGTTTCATTCAACAACTGCTTTGTTAAAAACCAAGTTGCCAGTCCCAATTATTGTTAAACAAGGACTACCTGTAGAGCAATCTGGTCAATATACAAACAGCAGGATGAATGACTATGATTGCTAAGCAGTTTTGCCAGTTTCTTGAAAACATTGCATCATAATAAAAGTATACCTTTCTTAAGCAAAATGGTAAAGTCTCCCTTGACTCAAGCTAACTCTTGGTGATGAGTACAGGGATATCCCCTTGTTTTGCATTGTAGTTTGCTATTGTTTTTTTTCCTGAGGATTTTCTTTTTCTTTTACTTCCCATTCTATCTTACAATCCTTGTATTTCTTGGTGATCTCCCACACACATGCTAAGCAGGTCAAACCCTACACAACCTTTTTGACAGCAGCAAGGGTGAAATAGGTGGCAGCCCCTATCTCTTATTTCATTCTGTTTTCTGCTACTTACTGAGAAGATTAGTCAGCATGAAAGAGACTGAATATATGTAATGCCCCTGTGCCTATAACTTCCAAGCAAGATTGCCTATTCCTGTTAAATACTGATGCTCTACCAAAATCTGCTCTGTAATCCTTTGTTTATTTTTTATTTTTTAAAAAACATGCTCATGATGCTTGAGAATTTATTTCAGATTTTCCTTAGTGATGGTTTTCATCTTACTTTGCTCTCCACAGCTGGGGAGGATTCTGCTTAATTACAGTTACAAGATTCTCTTGCAATTCATACACATCCCTCAAGACGTCCTTGCTTGCTCTTTCTTCCTCATTTGGAAAAATTCCCATGGGCACCTTCACTGAAGGCTGAACTGATGCATAGGGAGCTAATGTTGCACACTACAGGAGCAATTGTTGCTATTGAAAGAAAAATAGTTGTATCTGTGTCTGTGTCACATTGCAAGAACAGAAACTTAAAGCCCCAAATGTGATGGTGAAATAAATTAACACCACAACCTTGTGTTATTATGAGGTGATAGGATTTAAAAATGGAGGAGAATGTTGGCTGGTACAAAGTGATGCAGAAATGGTATGAAAGAGATATGATTGAATACATGG